TCACAGGTTGCGCTGGCGGAGCTCGTCACCATTGCCCTGCAGCTTTCACAGATACATGAAAGAACCGGGCGAAGAGGCCCTACTGTTATTACATGATTATATTAAATGTCATCTTTACATTTCAGTTTTTTTAAATAAAAATTGTTATCCGCGAAAAGTGTAACTGCAGCATGTGCAGACGTTCTCGAATCCTTCACTGTCACCATTGCTTAGCTTATGAATATTAATTACGCCACATGACGCTTCAGGAACGTTGCCCAGCAACGTGCCCATGACGCATTTAATATTCATGAGCCGACCACTGTCGAAAGTTGTATTATTGTCACAGGTTGCGCTGGCGGAGCTCGTCACCATTGCCCTGCAGCTTTCACAGATACATGAAAGAACCGGGCGAAGAGGCCCTACTGTTATTACATGATTATATTAAATGTCATCTTTACATTTCAGTTTTTTTTAAATAAAAATTGTTATCCGCGAAAAGTGTAACTGCAGCATGTGCAGACGTTCTCGAATCCTTCACTGTCACCATTGCTTAGCTTATGAATATTAATTACGCCACATGACGCTTCAGGAACGTTGCCCAGCAACGTGCCCATGACGCATTTAATATTCATGAGCCGACCACTGTCGAAAGTTGTATTAGTGAATGTGCTGCCCAACAACGACATGCACTCATAAACAAGCGCTGATCTGAAGTGGAAGTGTAATTTTCTGGCTGAAGTCATTGTGAAATGAGACGCAGTTGTGACTGACAGGTAACTACTGATTTTATAAAGCACTATTCCAGCACTGATTTGAGTGCATATGATTGATTAATTACGGGTTTTGATGTTAAGTCCTTAAAAAAAGAGTTGGGTAAACTTGCTTAAATTAGACTTTGTCGTGATATTGTTATATACATTTGATACTAAATGAATTACATGTCTGTTTAAATGGTATTGCACGGTTCTCTATGCAGCAAATTCTGAATAAATATTATCTTGGAGAGAGAGAGTTATATATTTATATATACTGATAATAGGCATTGGGCTAATAGCTTGTACATTTCATGATATACTCCCTCCTAAATGTGTAGTTGAACTGCAAAATGTACCTTTAAATGGAAATAACAGTCACAAATAATGTAACGTTAACCCAAAAGCTGCATCCGGGATATTAATTCACACTCATTGTAAACAGTTCACTTGCCTACTGCTTAAGAAATCAGTAACAATGGAAGCTTATGAGCTGCTGCCTTGCTCTCCATCAACACAAGTCATGAAGAAGAGCCAGGAGCTGGAGGGTAAGAATAACCCGCCAACTCCACCTTTCACATCATTACAACTAAATAACATTTACAAAATCGTATTATGACAATACTTTCAGTTTTTTTATTTACCTGTTCAAATACAGATTCTGGAGGTGTGGGGCTGAAGTCAAGGGAGAGGCAAGACCACTAATCTTCAGACTCTTTTACTGTCAAGTTTTGTAATGGATATCATAAAAATATAGGCTTTGTAAACAAACCGGCTCCTCTTCTTTTCAAGACAAGTGTGTAGAATTGCCTTTGAGGGGTATCTCAGCATATGGATGAAAATTGCCACCACTAACCCAGAACTTCTGATGGTAAACGAATGTAAGTGATTTGATATGACTGTATTTAAAGTGATAAAGTGGAATACTGTACATAAGAAGAGAGTATCATCAAATCTACTGTTAGTGCTTTATTTGCAATCTTTGCAACTTTTTCATTTATATGTGAGAACATCTTGCATAGATCAACTTTAATAGTATTTTTAGAGTCTGATGTGGAGATGGTCTGCCAAAATGAATTGAGATTTCTCATTTTAGATTCAGATGAATTCATCAACTGTAGAGACAGATGTGCAGTTCGGTCAAATGGCAATAAGACAGATCATCTCGTTCAAGCACAGCGCAACATGTCAGTTGGTGTTACCCATTTCTACTAATTTCATACAAGCTCAGTTAAAAAATAATTAATTTAGTTTAAACTAAATATAGTTTACATTTCTGAAATAAAGGGGCACTCATAATATCACTCTATTCCCTTTGCTATGGACTCCTGTATAAGGTTCTCCAATTGTATCTCAGCTCCTTGTGGCACCACAATTGCAAACTACAACTTGTTTAGATTAAATAGTCATAAGTATTAACTAAAAAGTTGAACAAGAAGTCATAAGTTGTACTCGTTATTTCATAATTGACATCTTTAAATGTTTTACTGAAATAAAAACTAGAAATTGACAAGTCAAAAGTATTAGATGAAAAATCTAATTTAGTCACAATTATGACTTTTTAGTTCATAATTATTTATTAATTATAATTTGTTATAATTATGACTTCATAATTTTTACTTTTTGTTTTCTATTTTTTTATTATAATGAAATAATTATGATTAACCAAAGCATGATTCTTATACAGTATAATGGAAATGTGCTTCCATGCAAGGACTTGTTGTTATTAAAAAGCGGAATAGAAAGTATTAGTTGTAGTGTCTCTTTAAGAACTGCACTCCATAGACTGTTTCAACTTTAAATTGTACATCTCCTATAATCTATGATTTTATTCAGTGGATATAATGTGCTTTACATTTACATATATACTTTTTTGATATTGGAACACCCTTACAATAAGCTCCAGCACAGTAAAAGACTCTAAACACTGTAATTCTAAGTTTTACGGCCATTATGTGCAGCCCTGTTCAGAAGCTTCCGAAGAAACATACCATCATGAAACGCACGCGGGTGGAACGCATGAGAAGACTCTACACGCAGTGCAAAGCTCCAGGTGATTCCTCCTGTAGATCAGTCTGTGTGTTCTTTTAGAGATCCCACCTCACCTCAGTTTCTGCTGTGTGTCCCACTAGACCCGCTGACCCCCCAGACTCCTGGTGCTGCTCTGGGTCCAGATGAGCAGGAACACTGGGAGCGAGAAATGGACGAACTGCTGGAATGGACTGACTCCCTTTCTTTCAAAGAACTAGATGACCTACAGTACGCACAAATTTAGATATCACAAGTTTTTTTGATGATTAAAAAGTTTACAGTACAATCAACTGAATACAACAACCAAAAATGAAATGACATTCATGACTATATATATATATATATATATATATATATATATGCACCTTGCATTTTAATAGATCTATCTGTCTATCTTGTCTATCTGTCTTAAGCCGCTTTTCCATCGTCAGGTTCTCATTGCTTAACTGTTCCATTATGGTTTCGGATATGGATATGGTTTGGTTTTCCACTGTGGCACTGATAACAGAGCTCGTAATACAGATGTATCAGTCGTTGCCATGGTAATGCAAGTACAGTATTTACATACAGTACGGTATGAGATGTAAGTAGTGACTGTATTATGAAGGATGATGAGATATTTCTGTTTGCTTCACTCAAATAGCATGCTTGACCAGCAATAGAGAGAAACTACACACAACCGAGCCGAAGGTGGAAACTGGAACCGTTTCTTGCCGTTCTTAGAACTGCTCAGCCTGACGGTGGAAAAGCCACTATAGATTAGCTAGTAAATACAAGAAATATGCCCCGTGATATTAAGGCACCTCTGCATTTTATCTTTCATAAAATAATAAATCATTTATGTTTATACATTATGGGCCAGATATACTAATTGGCATGAGATCGCAATCCCATAAAAGCACTAGTAGGAGTGTAAAGTTCTGTGTGCGATTTACTGAAAATAAGCAAATGAAAGAACACAGATGCATCCAGATCATTTCCATAATGACCAATGCAGTCTACCAAGAGCAGAGCAAATTAGCAACTATTGTGTCAAGTGCAAAACGGGTTAAAACCACTGATCTACAGTGTTGGGGAAAGTTACTTTTAAAAATAATGCATTACAATATTGCGTTACTCCTTTGCGTTACTTAGTTACTTTTTATGGAAAGTAATGCGTTACATTACTTTTGCAGTACTTTTTCTCATCTGGGCTTGGCTTGCTTGATTGTTTCTATTATAAAAAGGTTATCATTTTTGTATATGTAAAAGGCTGAAGGAAATGTAAATTCAACATGGGAAAACAAAGTAACTGCATAACTTATTTGAAAAAAGTAACTTCTTGTAAATTAAAAAGTAATGAATTACTTTACTAGTTGCTTGAAAATAGTAATCTGATTACGTAACTTGCATTACCCCCAACACTGCTGATCTATAATAGAGATCATTATATATAGATCAGTGATTAAAACTTTTGGGGCTTTAAATAATGACACAAATACAGTAAATTGACTAGCGTATAAACCTTAGTAAATTACTTTGCATGATTAATTTAAATACTCTCAGAAATTTTGCGTTTGAAAAGGAAACTCCTACAAATGCATAAGGTCAGCCACAAAAAGAACTGTCCACGCTAATTTTTCACTGCGTGTCTTTAGTAAATAATAACAGTAGTTTTTTTTTTTAAGTGCCCCTATTATGGGTTATGAAAGGTTCATATTTTGGTTTTGGGAGTCCCCAACAACAGGTTGACATGCAGGCAAGGTAAAAAAACACTTTCATTGTCTTATAATATGCATTTATTTTTACCTTACTTGCTCAACGACTCCCAAACGATTCGTTCAACCATTCATTTTTCCAAACCCCTCCTTTGCGTGACGCTAATCTGCGGTGATTGGTCCGATTGGTCTCATTTTCGTTTCATCATGCCTGTAACGCCTGATAAAGCAGCGTTTGTAAGCGCAGTGCTGCTTTGTGTACAGCGTTACTGGGGAAACCACTATTTTACCGCTACAAAAACGGCACCTAGTGGCAAAGAATGAATTTGCATTTTCATTCAGACCAACACGAAAAGACCAACAAGTGGGCGGGCAATATGCTAATGTTTCATGTTGACGTCATGACTTGGGATTCGTTTTAAAAACGACTTGTTTCAATGATTCAGAGTCTACTCTTTATTTTGAGAGACAATAACTTTATACACGGTGCACTTTCAGATTTAAAACTTGCAGGACGTTTTCATTCACTTAGAGCTGTGTTACACACTGCATGAACGGTAATTTTCAAAAATCTGTAATAGGGGCACTTTAATGCCTAAAGAGGGTTTGTACTAGTGTAAGCTATTAGTACATCTGGCCCTAGATTTGATGCGGCTTGTGGTATGTTAACCTAGTAAGAATACACTGTATTACCAGAGTGTTTTTGGAGGTAGATGATTAACTGGCAAATATTTAAAGAGAAAGTAACATGCATCGTTTTCTTAGTATAATGAGAATGTTACATACAAATACAACATGAATCTGAATTGTGTAGGTGTAACTGATGTGATGAATGGAAGCTAGATGTTTTCACTAGTGAGGAGAATCTCAAACTCTTTGATCAGGCCCTTGAAGTCCACTCTGTCTTCTGGGGCGTGACTCCAGCAACTGTTTATCTGAGTGTACACCTGCAGCCACAGACACACGTCTATTGAAGAATCTGGCCGTAATATAATAGAATACAATAAAAAGTCAGAGAAAAGAGATATCTCACCATTTCAGGGCACAAATCTGGACGTGGCATCCTCCAGCCTTTCCCAAGAGCTTCTACCAGCCTGGCCATGGTCATCTGCCCCTGAGACCGGCCAATCATCTTCAGGAATACCTACCAGAGAAACATACAAGAACAGGAATTAGCAGATGAATCTCTGTGATTATAATACCTGATGTATTTAATATCAGGTTTGTAATGCTCACCCGTGGAGGGCTGTTCTCACGGTCACAGTAGGTCATGATTTCATAGAGAGTGACCCCAAATGACCAAACATCAGATGCCTTATAGAACTTCCGATTAATCAGACATTCTGGAGCATACCTACACAGAGGACATGACTGGGATTTAGCTGGACCTTGAGTGGACGTCTGCATATATACAGTGAAACTGGACTTACAGACATAAAAACAATTAGTGTAAGGTATTGTCTGCAGTATGAGAAAAGTCAATACAAGTCAGTAATGTTTAAAATAATTGTTTTCTATTTCCCTATTCAGAAAAGCTGAATTTTCAGCATCATTACTCCATCCTCCAGTGTCACATGATCCTTCAGAAATCATTCTAAGATGCTGATTTGATGCCCAAGAAGCATTTCTTACCAATTCTGAAAACAAATATGTCACTTTTGATCAATTTACAGTTGTTTTCAACTGCTTACACACAAAATCTTTACTTGTCACACAATTTCTGAAACCTGACACTCAAACACCAGAACCACACACAAAATCTGCAAAACCATATACCAATTGTCGGCCTTTGACTCGGTTTTCAATTTCATAAAACACTTTTTGCAAAACACAACACACAATTCTCTATGTAGCACACAAAAATCTAACGGGAATTAATATAGCAAAAGTGTTTGCAAATTTTGTGATATTTTAAATGCAGTGCTTTATTTTGCATGACATGTGAGGCATTTTGCATTTTGTGTGTGCAATTCTTGGATTTGTGTGTAAAGTTTTGAAAAATAGAGACAAAGTTTTGAAAATGTAAGCAGTTGAAAAAAAAAAAAATACATCCTTGCTAAATAAAAATATTAATTACCTTTAAGATTTTTCAAATCTTATTTGATAATATATATATATATATATATATATATATATATATATATATATATATATATATATATATATACAGTATATATATATATATATGAAGAGTTTATTTGCAAAAACAGATAACGTTTTTTTAATTTTTCAAAAATCATGTTTTTTACTATCTTATCATGTTTTTATTGTGTAACTTAGCTGTATTTTTTAGTTATTTTCTAACCTAATCAAAATAACCCAACTGCAGTTTGAGATTAATTGGAATTTTTGAAAATGGTCTGTTTTTGCAAATGAACTCTTCATATGTATATATATACACACACATACACAAACTTTATAAATGTAATTAATAAAGTACTATATTCAGAAAACATAATTTGTTGCATTGTCATCATGGTAGGTGTTTGAATTCAAAGGGAGAAGGTAATAGCTTTTCCAGTATAAATCATTTGTCCTTTATAGAAATATTTAACAAATTTATAAGCAAAAAGCTTAAACAGTGATTTATATAATGATTAAAATACATAAAGGAGTGTAAGCAGGAATGAGTGCTGCTTTACCAGTACACAGGACTGTCCTGTTCTTCGGTCACTTTGTAATATTCCTTATCATCTTTGATGCTCTTAGTCAGACCAAAGTCCCCGATCTTTACAAGTGATTCATTCTCCACTAAGATGTTTCTCGCTGCCAGATCCCTGTGGATGTAGTTTTGAGATCCCAGGTACTCCATACCCTGAGAAACACAATATTTATACGGATTTATACCAAAAGATGGCAGTTATAGTGATAGTGATGGCTTCTGTTGTGCAGTCTAAAAAGGCATTTGGAAATTTAAGTAACAAATAAAAATATCTGAATATAAGTGAAAATGGATGAAGCTATCTGTATCTATATCTATAGTTATCTATTGTATTGGCTACATTACCTGACATATCTGAAGAGCATAATGCAGCAGTCTCTTCTGATCGATGTTGGATTTGTTACGGGGCAGGTATTCTTTCAGACTGCCAGAGGGCAAGTACTCCATAATGAGTTTGATGTTCGCTCCTCCTGAGTGACACACATTCACCCCAAGCAATAATACAGTAAGTACATATAAATGGGCTATATATTAATTTGCCTTAGTTATCAAGTTAAAAAGCCATCAAGATTAGAAAGCGATGAAAATAGTGTGTGTAAACAGGGCCTTTGTGTTTGTAGCTGTGCTTATGACATGCCTTCGTCGTTGCAGATGCCTTTGTATTTGACGATGTTTTCATGGTAGAGGTTTCTGATGGTGCTGATCTCTCTCCTCAGGTTGCTGCACTCATTTTCCGTTTTCAGAGATTTGACAGCCACCAGCTCACCTGTCTGATCTCCCTTAGGATCATACAGACACAGTTCCACCATCCCAAAGTTACCCTGGACAAGATTGATAAAGCAGATAATGAATCAAGAACACATTAATCCAAGGGGATTATGGGATTTAGGAGTGATGAGAGGAAATGCAAAGATCTCATTGTGAGTGAATCAAGTTGGTCCAGATTTCCAATTAGAATCAAATTCTAATGGAATTTGTACCGTATTCCTAATGAAATCTCTATAAAATCTATAATACACAATTTCTGTAAACTGGTTTTGTTGTACTGGGGTTACTGGTAATCATAATAGTCATTTTGGGAACAATAGTGTTGTTATTGTTAAATAAAACTAAAACAAAAACCAATTAAAATAATTTTCGTTAATATAAATAAATCTGAAATAAACAAAAAAAATTAATATTAGATAAAATGAAATAATGCCTTAATATCCAAGTGAAATTAAATGTAATATAAACTGTTAAAATTTATTAGATTAAAGATAAATAGAATATCTTAAAAAAAAATACAAATGGCAAACGGACATAAAAAAATACTAAAATAAAAGCTTAAAATATAAAAATAAAAGCTAATTTTAAATATGAATAAATACTATAATACTATATAAATAATAGTAGAATAACACTGATTGGGAACTAAAATGTCTTTGAAAAAAAATCTATGTTCTATGAATTCTTTAAAAACATTTCCAAATACTTCTAGTACTTTCTAATACAATCCAGTAGAAATCATGTACTTGTTCCTTTACTTGATTTGGGAAGAGTAACAGCATGTGACAATCATAAACCTGAAAAAGTCCAGTACCTCTCCAAGTTTTCGGATTTTCTTGAGAAATCTTCTCTTGAAATCTGTAGGATCAGTCTCCTGTGGAGGAATTGCCTCCATAAGGTGAAGCGCTGTAGAAAAAAAAAAAAATACAATCAATTCAGTAATGTATATAAATACAACCATGAAGGTTACTTTAAACTGTGTTTTAAAATTAAAATAATACCATTTTTAATAAGAATGAGATTTGTAAATGAAGGTTGTAAATGTGCTTAAAGGGTTAGTTCACCCAAAAATGAAAATTCTGTCATTAATTACTCACCCTCATGTCGTTCATCTTCGAAACACAAATGAAGATATTTTTGATTAATTCCGAGAGCTCACTGACCCTCCCATAGACAGGAATGTAATTACCACGATAAAGGTCCAGAAATGTAGCAAGGACATCGTTAAAATAATCCATGTCAAAACCGCGTGACGCAGCTGACACAGAACAGCATACGCTGTTTTCGTTCAGTGGATACTCTCCAAAATGGCACCAGGGTGACGTGGAGGAAACTAATTGTTGAATAAAGTTGTTATTTTTGGTTTCTTTGCGTACAAAAAGTATTCTCATAGCTACGTGGACATGGATTATTTTACCGATCTCCTTGCTACGTTTCTGGACGTTGATTGTGGTAGCACACTTGCTGTTTATGGGAGGGTCAGAGAGCGCTCAGAATTCATCAAAAAATATCTTAATTTGTGTTCTGAAGATGAACGGAGGACTTACGGGTTTAGAACGACATGAGGGTGAGTAATCAATGACAGAATTCTCCTTTTTGGGTGAACTTTCCCTTTAACTGTCATGATATTTTTTAAATCAAAATATTTTCCTTCTCTCTTTTTTTGGGGGGTGAAATATTTAAATTTTTTGACGTAATTGATGACAAAAAGTTTATTTATTTATTTTTTAAAAATCTATTGCATAAAGAAGAGGTAAAGACTATTAGTGTTTGTGATGATCGTGTGATATTATGTGACAGATACCCTTCACGTGCTGCTCTTTGATGTGTCCCAGCTCTCTCACTATGGCTCTGAAGAACGGTCTCTTCCTGGGGTCATAGTTCATGCACTGTGAGATCAGATCAGCCAGTTCACTGATGCTGGGAGTGACCAGTGTGCCACACACATCGTAGAATCGCTCTTTCTGTTTATGCACACACAGATGTTAGATTAAAAGTGTTATAATCAGAAACAAAGGACAAGAATTCCAATAAAACAACTGCTGCTTTGGACAAGTATAAATGAAGAGTCATCGTAGAAGAGTAAGGCACCTCTGAGAGTTTCTTTTCACGCAGAGGCACCTCGCCATTGTAGCAGATCTCCCATAGCGTGGTCCCAAACCCCCATTTGTCTGCTGCAATGCTCAGCGCTTTGGGGGTTTTAACACACTCTGGGGCGATCCATGGGATCCTGTCAATACACTCTGAGCACAGGCACAATCAGGAGCGTTAGTAGTGCAAAATGGACTCTCAGAAACTGTCATTTAGTAAAGTCAATATACATTATACTGATTATTATTTAACCCTTATAATGCATTCAGGTCTGTTTTGACCTGGAAGAGATACATAAAAAAAAAAAAACTTTTTAAGACCCTCAAAATACACATTTTTTACAATTCTTTTTAAAGAGATAAAACCATTTAGATTAAATGTTATACTTTCGGCTCATTTTAAACCCAGGTATGTATGGAGTACCACTAGGTGCCAAAAATACTTTTGTAAAATGATCTATGAAGTTATATTAGTGCCAAAAGGCTTTTGTAAAAAACATTTAGCTTGTTCCCCATATCTCACACACTTAAAATATGAATATTGACAAACCATTGCAGCATGCAAAATGTATAACTTTTTCTCATCTGAAAGTGAAAGTTTATGCAAGTAAAATTAATTGATTGTGTCTGGAAACATTTCAGAGTAGTATTTGCAAGAATATGCAAGTTTCATAAATGTTTTTGAGCAATCATGAGTTAAATTCATAGAAATGTATTCAGATTACATTCATTCTAATGGAGTTAATACTGGTTATTGTCAGATCAGAATTATCAGATGTTCTTATGATTGTAACATACAATGATTTATCATAAATATTGAAATAGTTTTAATTTCACTAAGTTTATAGTATTAATCCGTTTTTTTCATGTGTAATTTGACATTTCAAAGAATTTCTCAAATTTGTAATTAATAAAAATACAATAATAACAGTAATAATATGGTAACATTCAAAACTGACATTTTTTCACATTCACTCATTAATGAGAAGTTGTTGATTGGTTCTAAAAATGCACAAATAGTATACAGATTTTCAATGCATTATGGGAGTTATCTGTTAATATATTCGATTAAATGTTAAATAGATGTTATTAAATAGTCACTTTGCACTTGTATGATGCAAGGCTATACAGAGGCTCTCTGGATGAGTGTGAATGAGTGTGTGTTACCTGTTTGGCTGAGCACAGCGATGGACAGTCCAGGATCACTCAGTTTAATGAAAGGACCACCTTGTACTTCCAGACCATCCAGCTTCAACAGGACATTTTTAGCACAGACATAGCCATGGACAAGCTTCTTAAAGGTCAACTATTTCTATAATTTCTTTACAAATACAAATAAGTATTGTTGCATTTCTGTCTGGTGGAGTGGGCACACTTACGGTCCATGCTGTGCATGCATACGCCATACATCAGAACCATGTTTTTATGTGAAATCTTCTGCATTACACTGACTGTGTCCAGGAAGGCCTAAGAGCAGTAGAGCAGGATTTGTGAAGGCAATTACCAGTAGAGTTATCTACCTACTGTATGTATCAATAGATGCGGTGCCACTTACAGAAATGTGTCCTGCTGCCAGCACCTTCAGAACCACATCCACCACCTCATGGCCTGAATAACCGTCATCATCCTCATTTCTCAAATTCAGCTTCCCAGAATATATGTTTGTGCAGGTGCCTTGGCCCAGGTGTTTCTCCTGTTTCATAAATAACAGTTTCAATACATTGCTTTCCATTTCTAGGCTCCAGATAATTTTATTATTATTATTATTATTTATATATGACCCTGCTGGAATATCCAACTTAAACTGTAACACAATAACTGTTCTAAGCTGCTTGACCATCTTGGACCTGGTCTAACCATCTTCAAGACATTTTCTTAATTAGTATTTTTTAGCATAAACATCATTTAAACCACTTAATCAAATAATACATTTTACATTCATTGTGAGATAAAAATAAGCTTATATGACACCAAAAGTTTTAAAATTTCAGTTTTACTATTCTCAATTCCAATACCACAGCAAAAACTACTAGTCTTACAAATATAAAGTTTAAACACTATTAAAGACAACTGATTTACTTATAAGCAAGTTATAGCACATACAGATACAAAGATACAAACTAAACAATGCTTTAGACTTTTAGGTTTGTAGGTGTTCAAGCACAAATATGTTTATCAGGGAAAAATAGTCACTGTTAAAGCTACAAAAGTGAGTGAGTGATTTTCTCTCTCTCTCTTTTTTTGGATTAACATTAAGGACACCGGCAGCAGCTGGTAAAATAGGCACGGTAACTTTAAGAGAAAATGCATGGATCCAATATGATGATACACATCTGATTTTTTTCTCAGCTGTTTAAGTTCACTTAAGACGTAACCGACTGTTTTCAAGGATACTCGCCAAGATGGGTATTTGATAAACATTTGTATGTATTTGTCCATTCAAGCGGAAAGAAAATAAGAGGCGACGTTGCCCGAGACGCAGCTCTATGTGTGTGCGCTATGTGCACAGAACACACTGTATGGAGTTGTTATTTGCGTCTTCTTGCGCTTGAATGCTTTAAAATCCCTTGAATGTTCTAAATGGGCACGTGTATTTGTCTGTTAAAGTGCAAGAAGTCGTGAAAGAGAATTCCATTTGGGGTTTGTGCGTTGTCAAGAGACACAGACCACAGCACGCAAATTCTGAATTTAGTTCTGTTACGTAGGGCTGCACAATTAATCAAATTTCTAATCGCGATTACAATTATGGATGCCACAATTACGTAATCGTTCAAAGTGGCAATTAATCGTTCAAAGTCCACTTATGTTATTCTTTGTGCTTAAGATGCGTTATTTTCTTTCTACAGGTTATCTTAAGGGTTTTTCCCATTATTTAAATTTTAGTATAACATTATAATACCATTCATATTTTTACTTTTTTATAATTTAAAGAAGAAACCAATCTGATGTATAGTTGACATTTGACATTAATACTATAGAAAAGCAGTAAAAGTTTTTCAGTTAGCGTTTTCAGCTTGTTTATTTTCTTATAAAAATAAGGCATGCAGTTGCATCAAACAATGGTATAAACATCATTCAATGTAAATTGTGATAATCGTAATTAATAATCGCAATTACAATTTCAAGGGAATAATCGACAATTATGATTTTTGTCATAATCGTGCAGCCCAACTATCAGGTGAATTTGAACGCCAAATATAAACGAAATATACGAAGTTTATTTTTCACAATTTAAACTTTTTTTCTCTGAATTCTGTGCTCACATCACGCAGTTAACCAAGGAATAATTTTCACCAAATTGTGAGTCTTTATGTCACAATTCAAATTTTCTTCGAAATTCTTACTTTTTTCCGCAGGACTGCGATTATATTCTGAGTTTTTATCTCACAATTCTGACCTTGTTCTCACAAGTCAGCATTGTGATATATAAAAAATATGTGAAAACAGTAGCTGGTTAAACCTGGTCAATGTTCTGTTGCTGATAGTTAATTTTTGGGATACAAGACATAAAATACTACTTAGATTTTAGCAGTGCAGCATAATGGTTGTTTGATCAGCTTACACCAGCTAGAAACCAATGACTTCATTCCAAACCACAGATCCCCGTTTAGGTTGGATCTTCCAGCAGGATGCACCAGGAAATAACTTCTCACTATAGAGAAATTTGCTTGTTTTCTATGAAACAGGTTTGACTTATTCACATCATGCATATAAGCAAACTGTTTTTAGATGTCCAACCTGGGTCATGTCATTTCTGAGGATCCTATTAATGACTGCATTATTTAAGGAAGAGTGTGGCGATGCTGAATCTTTCCTGGTCATCATGACAAGGTTGGATTGCTCTGTGAAGCAGTAAATGGAAGATTATTCATGTTTCTGCCATCTTTTAAGACATAAGGATGATTTTAGTACAATAATAATCAAACATTCCTAGCAAAAAAAAGTAATATATTTAAAATACACTTATTTCATACTAAGTATAATTCAAATGCATTAACATATTTACTCGAGATGTACTGATATAAAAATTATAATTAAACTTTATTTAGAGTACTACTTGTGCACAATGCACAATGCACATTTCTTAATATTAAGCTTAAAATGTGTTTTAATGATGAGGATTGTATGACCTTTGAATAATAGCGGTCTTTTAATGCAAGATATTAAGAGTGTACCTAAAGTATACTTGCAATAGTTCCACTTTTTTACTGCACAATTAAATATACTTCAGTATATCTTTAGTTGGACTTCAGCACTACTTCTGCACTATTAAAGTGCATTAAGCACAAAATTAGTTGTTCCAATTTAGCAGACTTTCAGTATACCACTTTAGTATACTAAAAGTACAATTGCCGGGTATATTTATTAAGCACATAAATAAGTAAATGTATTTGTAGTATACTTAATATGAAAAAAAATGTATTTGTAATACACTTAACATGAAAAAAAATTATTAAAAATACATTTTTGTATATTTATTTTTCTCTAGGTATACAACCGATTTCAAATAGAACATCTTAACTATCATAACTTTGCATGCCAATTAAATTTGATTATACTAGTGTTTCCTACAGGATTAATTTTTACCCTGTTGTTCCCTACATACTGTACATAATCATGCCACAGCATGAGATTTAGAATAAATATAAAAATCTAGTGCCGTTTGAAACTAAAATTAAATTATTTTATTAAGAAGACACAGATTATAAACCGCTAGCTATCTATATTTGAAATATCACTGTTGGTGTGAAGCTCCAGTACCTTTGGGTTGGGGTGGACAGCCACGCTCAAGTCTTAAGCTGGTGTGGTCTGTTGTGAGACACTGGCCAAACAGGTGGTCCGTCAGCTCTCTCAGAGTGGGCTTCACAATATTTGTCCCAGTCAGGAGGAAGCCCTGTGCGCTCGCCTCAATCTGGAAGTTCTTGAAGGTTTTGGTGATGCTGCCATAACAATCCCTCTAGAATAAAAAGGTCAGTTTTGATTTGCGTTACTTACTCAGTGTGAAACGTAGAAAACGTCAATATCCTAATTTTATGCAAACATATTTACATACATTTACACTATTCGTTTATTCTGCGTTTGCTTGACTTTTACTGAGGTCTCTTTCCAAAAGCAGCATATACAATAATAAAGCGAGTACCTCATTGCATATGACAGTCAGGAGAACATGATCGAAGTCGTGAGTGCTCCAGCGCAGCAGATACATGCCCTCCTCATAACCTTCCTGCTTGAGTTTATGGATGGCATATTCAGTACTGAGGGGTACAAAAGAGATACATTACATCAGCTGTTCAAAGACATTCTTCTCTGTCATTTGATGATTGTATATTAGACAGTTTTAGATGCTGAAAAACATGCTGAACAAATTAAATAGGACTACAGAAAGTTATATGAATTAAGGGATGAATTCAAGTTGAATTATTATTACACTACCACTGAAAAGCTTGGAGTTTTTGAAAGAAGACTTTTATGCTCACCAAGGCTGCATTTATACAATAAATACAGTAATACTGTGAAATATTATTTCAATTTAAAATAATTGCTTTCTATTGTAATATATTTTTTAAAAAGTCATTTATTCCTGTGATCATTACTCCAGTCTTCAGTGTCACATGATCCTTCAAAAATCATTCTAATATGCTGATTTGCTGCTCAAGAAACATTTCTGTTTAATATCAATGTTGAAAACAGTTGTGTTGCTTAATATTTTAGTGGAAACCGTGATACATATTATTTTCAGGATTATTTGATGAATAGCAAGTTCAAAAAACTGCATTTATTTGAAATCAAAATCGTTGTTAACATAAGAAATGTTTTTACTGTCACTTAAAAGTATTAATTTCTATAAAGAAAATTTTGAAATCTGACCCTTCACTTTTGAACTGTAGTGTACAAATAATATAAATAGCATACTCAAAAATAGGTTGTCATTTACCCTCACATTGTTCCAAATCTGTATGCCTTTCTGCCATAGCTTACAAATCTCATTCACATTTGCAATTTTTAGGGATAAGTAAGCACTAGATGATGGCAAAAGTAATCAATATGGAAAAAAAGAAGATAATTAAATTTTGAGTCGATAATTCCACGTTTTCTGATTTTATTCTGTTACAGTGAATAAAATAAGATAATATACTGTACTGTGGGACAACAAACAATATAATAGCACTATATAATGCAACCTTAGCACATTCAAAATTGAAGCACAAAAGAAGCAGTAGCACAAAAGACATTTGAAAGCTACAGAGGTGGGAAAGATTAAATAATATTTTGGTCTGTTACTCTATTAAGGTATTTTCTGATTCAGAAGTCAGTGCTTGATAACCACTGCTTACTGCTGGCCATTGTTGAATAGAAAAGAGCAGGGACCAGTTGCATAAACACTGCCATTGTGTCAAGAGTGACTGTGTCTTATGAACTAATATGACTAGAAGTTATTATTGGGCTAATCAGCCTCTCTTTTCAGTATCAAATTAGATGAAGTTACGTTTTTTATGTAGCTGACTTCAATGAAGTTATTGTCTAGTCTTAGCAGTTTATGTAGCCGCGCCCAGCATGAATATTTATTAAAACATCTCCTTTTGTGTTCCGCAGAAGAAAGCAAGTCATACATGTTTTGGAACAATACGAGTTCATTATCATTTCTGGAGGAACTATTAATTTAAAAGCATGATGAGTACATGTACTAACTTGATTGGACCATGGCAGCCCTCTCGTAGGTTCTTTTCCAGTGAGACGGGAGCCACATCCCTGCAGAGGAAATGATGCGCATCTACTGTGAGCCTAAAGTACCCATCTACCAGACTGCCAAAGGACAGCGCCTCCTCATGGGATGCCAGCTTCAGCTCCTGAAGAAGATCACAAACGTAAAACTGGGTTTAAGAAAAGTTCTGATTTCCCCTAAATGAGCCAAACCGATTACAGATCTCACGGTAAGCCTCACCATGTTTTTGTTGTCCTGTTTGTGGATGGTAACCACAGAGTATTTGATGAGAAGATGCGTTATCTCATTAAAGTCTGAAAAGAGTGTCCATCTGTCCTCTCCTGCATCATGTGATGCTACTTTACTCCGTTTCTTACTGTTGCTCTTTAATTTAAGTCTCTCCTGATTGGTCCACGAATCTGAACTGGCCTTAAAAAAAAAAAAGTGACATTAAAAAACTGTAGAGTTAGAAACAAATAGAAATATTGAACTCTAAACTGAAGTGTGAAACTTCAGCACGTACACTACCGTTCAGAAGATTGGGGTCAAGTTTATTTGTTTTAAAGATGAATAATTTTATACATCAAGGATGCATTCAATTGATCAAGTGATAGTGATTTACAATGTAACGAAAGATTTATATTTAAAATAAATGCTGTTCTTTTTTAAACTTTCTATTCATCAAAGGATCCTGAAAAAGGTTTTAATTTGAATATTAATTAATTTAATTTAATATTGAACATTTTCAGCACCAGGGTTATAAAAAGTTTAAAACTAAAACCATTAAAATAAAAAAAGTTAACTGAAATAAAATCAAATATAAAAATTACATTTACATTTACAACAATTACATTCATTTTTCCCCCCAGCTATTTGCCATGACAACATTTCTCATTTTTATTTAGTTTTACCTGATGAACTAAACTAAAATTAAAACTGAAATAAAAAAATGTGTGAAAAAACAAGACATTAAAAAAAACTAACAAAATTATTACAACTTTAAAATGAAAATATTCATTCATAATATGAAAATGAAAATAAAAACTTCAAAATATTAGTAAAAATGATCTCAATGACAGTATCTCAATGATACTAACATAACACAGAGCAGCACAAATGTATTCAGCATTGCTAATAATAATAATAATTGTTTCCTGAGCAGCAAATCAGCATATTAGAATGATTTCTGAAGGATCATGTGACACTTAAGACTGGGGTAATGATGCTGAAAATTCAGCTTTGGACCCTGGAACACAAAATTTGTCATAAGAGTCAATTTTTTGAAAATGAGATTTATACATTATCTGAACGCTGAATACATAGGCTAGGACAATATTTGGCTGAGATACAACTATCTGAAAATCTGGAATCTGAGGGTGCCAAAAAAATTTAAATATTGACTAAATCGCCTTTAAAGTTGTCCAAATGAAGTTCTTAGCAATGCATATTACTAATCAAAAATTACGTTTTGATATATTTATGGTAGGAAATTTACAAAATGTCTTCATGGAACATGATCTTTACTTAATATTCTAATGATTTTTGGCATAAAAGAAAAATTGATCATTCTGACTCATATTGTTGGCTATTGCTACAAATATACCCATGCCACTTATGACTGGTTTTGTGGTCCAGGGTCACATATATATTAAAATAGAAAACTTACTTTATATTTTGCAGAAATATCACAATATTACTGTTTTTACTGTATTTTTATCAAATAAATGCAGCCATGGTGAACAAAGAATCGTCTTTCAAAAACATTTTGAACGGCAGTGTAACTCATCACTCACTATTAGTACTATGGCTATTATTTGTACTTCTGCCTTCTTACCTCGGTGGGGACTTTACACCAATGAATGCCAGAGGTGCCAGACACCAGGATCTTGTAATGAACATCAGCAGCACTGCTGGAGTCCGTGATCATTTGATCATTCTCATGTATGAAGAGAGAAGAGGGTTCGAACACCTCCTGGCCAAAGTGTTTTGTTAGAGTCTCTAAAGTAGACATATATTTGACCTTCAGGTCATGGGTTTTGATCTTGTTGCCTTGCACAGTGTTCCTGGTGAATTCCTCAAGGAACACTTTAAAGACGTTGGCGATGCGCAGACGTGTGAGAATGTTCCTGTGACTTATGGACTTGTACAGGACCTTGGGGATGTAATTCTTGTACCTGACAAAGATAAAGTGAAACAGTGAGGAAGTTTAATATTTATATACAGTGGGGCAAAAAAGTATTTAGTCAGCCACCAATTGTGCAAGTTCTCCCACTTAAAAAGATGAGAGAGGCCTGTAATTTTCATCATAGGTATACCTCAACTATGAGAGACAAAATGAGAAAAAAAATCCAGAAAATCACATTGTAGGATTTTTAAAGAATTAATTGGTAAATTCCTCGGCATTATTGGTGGATTTGTTTCTCGGATCACAATGAGGTGAAATCAGTGATGACTGAAGGCAAAAAGTCAACCTTACACCTGTAAACTCCATCTCAGAGACAACGGCACCATAAGGATACACATTTCCAACAATACTGAGTCTACATGGTCATGTACTGTATATCAAAATAAGGGCAGTTAAAGACATTTATTGTATATATGTATATATATATAAAACACAAAACCAAAACTTTCAACAAAAAGCAAAAAACCTTCACTGGCAGCAGCCTGAGAATCAAAACTCACCCACAAAAAAATAAATACATGAAATATAAAAAAAAAAGAATATAATAAAAAAATTATATTTTAAAGGGGTCATATGATGTGATTTCAAGTTTTCCTTTTTCTTTGAAGTGTTACAAGCTGTTCATGAATAGATAAGATCCCTAAAGTTGCAAAGACTAAAGTCTCAAACCCAAAGAGGTATTCTTTCTAAAAGTTAAGACTCGTCCACACCCTTCTAAAACGCCTCGTTTAAACACGCCCCCACATATCTACGTCACTGTGTGGGAAGATTTGCATAACGCCACCCAAATGTTAACGCAAAGAAGGCGTAACTTTATTGTTGCTGCCACCACCGCCGCCATGTCGTGAAGACACTGTGTGTTTCGTTGTGAAAGCGAAACTACTTTGTTTGGTCTTCCAAAAGAGGACACGATTAGAAATCAGTGGTTAAGTTGTATTTACAACACTGTTCCAAAACACTTCAACCCAAATATTCAGATGTGTGCAGCACATTTTATGGAGGACTGTTTCCTGATCCTGGATGCCGGCTGTTCTGACTCACAGACTGTAAGTACATTTTCATTCGCATAAACACATTTCATTACACCAAATACACAAAATAATGTTCTTTTTAGCAACATCATATGACCCCTTTAAAAATTTTTGCTCTCAGTCATGAAAAATAAACTTTAAAGACTAAAAAAGTGCCATAAAGTACTCTTGCTCTTACTCAAATTCACAGACAGGAAGATTTTTTTCAATGGCATCATGGGAGATGGCCATCACCGCCATACCCAAACACTCATTTTCTATCAGCTGGACATCATTCTCATCTCGAGTGCTACGCAGCGGTGCCAGATCACTCTGAAAGTCACACTGACTCTGCAAAACACACATAGAAATGAGCAGCCACAACTTTCTTGACCAGCACGTCCTTTAAAAGCAGGCAATGTTTTTGTCACCGTACCTGTGCGTAGAGGTACGTTAGTGAAACTATATCCAGAACAGCCGTTCCTGTAGACCCCGTCCCTCGCTTGAGACTGTGTCTGGACACTGGATGAGATGTCTTGAGAGATGTCCCATGCCAGTTTGTAAAATAGAATCTGCCCCACGAATGGCATTATAACGTCAATATGTAACATCATTTCAAACATCACACAAAACAGGGAAGAAAAACGAAAAGTCCAGGAATACCTCATGCGATAGTAAAGCTTCAGTCTTGTAGTCTCATCAATAGTGAATGAGTGATTGGGTGCATACCAGATCTGGCTAAATTCATCATAAAGGGCGAACAAACTGCTACACAGTGGAGATATACCTGTAATAGCCAGACATGATTGAGTCTGTGATGATTACAGTGTTCATTTTGTGGAATAGCTGAAAAACCTACCCAACTTCTTGGCAGCTTCAACACACAGCTCCTCAGCTGTGAAACTTCCTGAGAGATGAATGATCTGGTGTGTCTCTGGCAGGTAAAAATGGATCTCGAGCCCCTGTAATATCACTGAGGCCATGACTACTTCTTGTTTTTCAGCGCTTTATCAATGAGGTCCCGGCAATATTCCATTCCAACAATTTCCTGAGTACAGTAAAATAAGATTCTGTCATCGTACATATGGTATAGAACAACATTCCCCTCTTTTGAAATACAGTAAACATGTTCTTTACGAACACCTGGACTCTTTACACAGACAGTTTAATAGAAACTGAAAGTTCGCAGAAGACTAACACACTTCTCTCCTATTTCTGACTGTCATTAGTGTGCCTGGATTCTTACAGCGACATCGAATGAACTTATAAAAGATAGAAATCACGGAAACGAATTTTACCTCACCGTCGAAAGATCATCTGCACGAGAGTCGCTTCCGAAGAAATTGTAGTTGACGAGTTTCGGATAAATTACGTGCCCCGCACACTGAATCTGATTGGCTGTTGGACGGTGACGTCACCTTTATTTAACCCTTAATGCAGGAGCGTGTCACATGAAACAGACTTCCTGAGAAAGCCTCGTTTTCCAGCGAAACATTCTGTGTTTACTGGTTGCGGTTTTAATGAATGCACGTTCAAATGTCCACATTATGGCATTTTCTAGTCTCGGATGTTGTCACTTTGTAGATTTCCTTTTCCCCCAATACAAACTTGCACAGTAAATTCGATTAAATATGTATGCATTTGATTGTTTAGGCTACTTTAAGATGAACTAGGCTAATATAATATTCATCATTATTAGATAGACAGACAGAGAGACATAAACTAAAAATAAAAAAATACTTCAAAAGTATCTTAGTTAATGTTAATATTCAAATCCAAAGTTTTATCTGGTAATGTTATTGAACGGACCTGAGCTAACATGATGTAACAGTAAAACAATCCAAATCAAACCAGTACGTTAACAAATGTAGGCTATTGTTCATTGTTAGTTAATGCATTAACTAATAACTACAGTTACAGATAGAGACTGAACCGACGTAACTATTACTACTACTAGGCTAATAATATAGGCTAATAATAATAACAACAACAATTATTTATTTGTTTGTTTTTCTGGAGATCAGTAGATCTCAGTAGACAAGTAGTAGACAATATTTTATCAAGAAACAACTAGAAGAAGAGGTAAAAAAGTTAAAAGCAGATACAAGACACACACATGTATATATATATATATATATATATATATATATATATATCAAATAAATATATTATAAAGTTCACAAACTTGAAAAGTTTTTAAGATAGATTCTCTGTACGTTTTTGTAAGACTGCTCCTTTAAGGGTGTATCAGTAGTTTGAGGAAATAGGAAGTCAGTCCAGTAACATTTAGCACAAAGACTAAAGGTAGACAAGTAGTAGACAATATTTTATCAAGAAACAACTAGAAGAAGAGGTAAAAAAGTTAAAAGCAGATACAAGACACCCACATGTATATATATATATATATCAAATAAATATATTATAAAGTTCACAAACTTGAAAAGTTTTTAAGATAGATTCTCTGTACGTTTTTGTAAGACTGCTCCTTTAAGGGTGTATCAGTAGTTTGAGGAAATAGGAAGTCAGTCCAGTAACATTTAGCACAAAGACTAAAAACAAAACAAAAGGCGTTTGTGAATGATGGCAGGAATAAAAGGTAAAGCTAAACGGCAACACTTTATAACACTTTTAACAAACCACGCCGATGCATCTGCTGTCGATATTAACCTAAGTCTTGTAGCTATACTTTGTTGAAGTTTCATAACTACAGACTGCTACGTAAAAGCTCGAAGTATAATGTAACTGCAGATTGGTTAGTTAAAATAAAATCTATTAAGTGTCATGAAGCGATGGAAAATAATACGTATTTTAATATCATATTCCGTATTTAACCGATGATAATCAAACTGAGAAGTGATCTTAAACATGAAAAATCACGGAATTTATTTATACGCAGTTTAGTCACCAAGTACGCCACTTCTGCAGTTGCGAGCTATGGCCGCGAGGGGGCCATACAAACTCACGCACTGTTGCAGTGCTCAAATCCTTGGCCCTTGACTAATCTGAATTATTGCTTTTCAGCTCTTGTTGCGTTATCCTTCAGTGGTGCACTTGGACTGACTTTTCTCCTTTTGGGATGTGCACTGGAACATTTTGGGTAGGTCTTCTGATTTAAAGATCTTAAGTGCTGTAATTGAAGATAACCTCTATGTGCTTCTTTCCTCACAGAGTGTACTGGCCAATGTTTGTCCTGGTCTTCTACATCCTGTCACCTATCCCAAATTTAATAGCCAGAAGGCATGCAGACGACTCTGAGTCAAGCAATGCATGCAGGGAGCTTGCATACTTCTTAACCGCTGGAATTGTGGTGTCAGCATACGGGCTACCCGTTGTGCTTGCACGAAAATCTGTGGTGAGTTCAGAATATGCTTTATGTCCTGCTTCGGTTTTATCTGGATCTTTTTATATGCTAAAAAGGAAATAGTTCAGCCAAAAATGACAATTCTGTCATCATTTACTCACCCTCAAGTTTTTCTAAACCTGTATGAGTTTCTTTCTTCTGTTTAACACAAAAGAAAGGTATTTTTAAGAATGTTGGTAACCAAGCATTTGACGGTAGCCACTGACTTACAAAGTATTGATTTTTTCTAAAAAAAATAAAAAATAAAACTGCCCCGAACACACAAAAACAAGAATAACAGAGAACTAGCGAAAAATTTAAAAACAAAAAGTAAAACAAAAATGTCCATATTAGACGTCACAGGTCGTTGGCATAGCTTTTGACTTCTTGACTAATGTTTATTAATAGCTTTTTTTATTTTAATATTTTCTGTTTTAATTTTGAATTTCGTTTGTCATTTTGCTGTGTTTTTGTTGTTGTTGTTTTTTTGTTATTTTCTTTATAATATATGTGTATTTGTAATATATATTTTAATATACAGTGGGTACGGAAAGTATTCAGACCCCCTTAAATTGTTCACTCTTTGTTATATTGCAGCCATTTGCTAAAATCATTTAAGTTAATTTTTTTCCCTCATTAATGTACACACAGCACCCCATATTGACAGAAAAACACAGAATTGTTGACATTTTTGCAGATTTATTAAAAAAGAAAAACTGAAATATCACATGGTCCTAAGTATTCAGACCCTTTGCTCAGTATTTAGTAGAAGCACCCTTTTGATCTAATACAGCCATGAGTGTACATTAATGAGGAAAAAAAATTAACTTAAATGATTTTAGCAAATGGCTGCAATATAACAAAGAGTGAAAAATTTAAGGGGGTCTGAATACTTTCCGTACCCACTGTATGTCTATATAGTTTTATTATAAAATGTTTTGTTATGCTGTATTTTATTTCAGGTAACAGTTTATTTCAAATAGTGATCATTTTAGTTGTGCTTTCAGTTTTATTATTTTTTAAATCAAATAATAATTTTTGACTTCATAAAATCAAATCGAGTCTGCATCAAATTTGTTGAGTAAAAAAAAAAAAAACGATATAAGGTTCAGCGTCTTTGTTTCTGCAGCAATATGTTTAGGATCTTCATATTAGTTCAGCACAGTCTGATCCAGTGTCAATAACAGGACAGATACAAGTCAGTTCATAAATACTGGACTTTAAATAATTACAAAATTACTATCAGCACGTTTTAAAAGTACTAAGTCAGTTCTTTAAATTAGTTTTTAGTTTAAACTCATCTAGGTAAGAACAAGCTCCAGTCAGAGGTGGTTTGTTCCTCCTGTACGTCCATCGGTGGACTCTGAGAGTCTTATGGCACTCCAGACGTTTGTGCTGTTGACCAAACGAGAGCCTCTGTTACCTGATGTTGAGCAGATTCTTTACAAAAGTTGAGGCTACCATCAAAATATCTTCTTTTTGGTTCAGCAGAAGAAAGAAACTCATACAGGTACAGAACAAGTGGATGGGGAGGTAATGATGACAGAATATTCGTTGTTGGCTAACAACATATAATACAATACAATACAACGTATAATTTTAGCGTATAATAAAAACATGTACAAGTCACGTTTAACCTAAAAAGAAAGAAAGAACGAAATATATTTTATTGATATATTTTGTATTTAAATTTATTTCATTTTTAACCAATTCATAATTTTTCATATTTTTTATACTATTTAGAGATGCTATTATAGTTCATTTATTAATATAGCAAGTTTATTAATAGCTTTTTTTATTTTAATATTTTCTGTTTTAATTTAGAATTTCGTTTGTCATTTTGCTGTGTTTTTGTTGTTGTTTTCAATTGTTGTATAATATATGTGTATTTGTAATATATATTTTAATATATGTCTATATAGTTTTATTATAAAATGTTTGGTTATGCTGTATTTTATTTCAGGTAACAGTTTATTTCAAATAGTGATCATTTTAGTTGTGCTTTCAGTTTTATTATTTTTTTAATCAAATATAATAACTGATGAGAATGTGGATATTTCTGCATTAATGAAAATTAGGGTCGATTAAAATGCAGATACCTTACTGGTTTTTGAAAATAGTCTGTCTTCCGTTCTTTAAATGATTATTTCTTGCTTCTTTAATCAGATTTCCAGGTCAAATATGACCCATACAGCTCATATAATAATAGCTTAGAGGGTTATAACAAAACAATTTTGTACAAGAGAAAGAACCTTCACTCTGGTGGCATTGATTATATTTCATTATATTTTTGGTCAGATTGCATTTAGTGCACACAGTGTCCTCAAAATGACTTAAAAGCTTATACAGACAGAATATGCTTTCTAAAATGGCAAACCAGACAGTACACTGAATGAATGAAACTAATGGCTGTCTTCCTCTGCAGATCCAGTGGGGCGCCTGTGGCCTGGTAATGGCAGGCAATTGTGTCCTTTTTCTGACCATTCTGGGTTTCTTCCTGATATTCGGAGGTGGAGATGACTTTAGCTGGGAACAGTGGTAAAACCTATCCGGAAGAAGAACATAACTACATTATATATTACGAAACTTTAAATAGCTTGCCGTGGCAATGCTGATTAGCCCAGGCCTTGACAGAGACTGTGTCCATTGCTTTGTTTTACTCTGGGTTATGGCTGCTTTGGTGCTCTGCTTCTGCCTTTTCATTTGCATTACATATGCATGGCCCTGTGTATACAATCATTTGCTTAAAAACGGTAATTATGAAGTTGCATTTATAGAAATATTGCATTTAAACTTGTTTGAACAGCAAAAAGGGTAAATCTCACAAAACCTGTATAGTGCAGTTTGGCTCATATTTACTCAAATCAAAAGCAAAAAACAATCAATTATGATTTGCTTAAATAAAATGAAGCCTGTGTTTGGAACATTTAAGATTTTTTTGTATTAAGTTTAAAATTAAGATTTCTTCCCCATCCCATCAACAGATGTGGGGGGTTTTTTCAACACAATGCAAAAATTATTTATTATTTGATATATTAAAAACAAATCATTTGATCGCTGTCATTTTTTTTAAATTTTGCGGTATTACACAAGAGGTTCGCAATCATTCGGAAAAAGTCCTAAAAGTAGGCTTCTACACTGTTTTTGTGAGATTCGTGCTCAAATAATTAATTTTAGTGTGAACTAGAAATCTTGTATGCAAGCCAATTAAACCATCATCAAGATTTAGAATTTAATAATACACAAAGGTAAGCATAGAATGAACATTTTTCTCTCTCCTTTTTTAGCAGCTTGAATTGTTAGTACTTAATTATCCTGATTAAATTATCATTTGCACTTGATATATAGGCCTGGCAGTTAAGAGGCATAATGAATTATAAAAACAATGCCACCTAAGAGCAATGCGTTGTGTTTGCAAACAGAAGCACTGTAACCATGGAAGTCTATGGAGTGTTTTTGTCTTGTCTTGGGTCTGTAGAAACGGGAAGAAAAGTTTTAAATGTGTGCAGAATACACTCATAACCAGCCTTTCAGTGATTATAGAATGCTTATTATAGTTGCTTTTTATTGGAACGGCATATGATTCATGAAATTCCAGAAACATTTTCTTACAACTGACATAATTCCACATCATAGCTTATGAAACACTATGACATGATTATGTAATGTAATATATTGTAGGCTATATAGTAAATTAATAGAATGTCTGCGATCCAGTTTCACCTGAAAGACACAGTGTTCAAGTTTAATGATTGACAGTTTCACACTACTGCTGTTGTCATTAATAGTTTATAAAGGATTATAAGTTTATCATTTTATCCACTGTATAAAATCTTCCTGTTTTGTTTCTTCAGAGGTTAGACTGACTTGTATAAGGGATGTTTTTGATATACCTTTGTGATCTTGTTTCAGCACTTTCAAACAATATCTATTTGATTATATGAATTTTAAAAAAACACTTGAATTTTTCATTTTTTGTCTTGTCATAAGTTTGTCTTTTTCAGTAACTCTATATAATTAAGCGCCACTGTTTATGTTTAAAATTGCACTCTTTTTGACCAATGTGACTTTAAATAATAGCGATGGCTTCTGTTGATGTCAAGTGCCAGACTACTTAGAGCAGCGGTTCCCAACCCTGGTCCTTGAGGCACCCCAACACTGCATGTTTTGCATGTCTCCTTAATCAAACACACCGGATTCAGATCATCAGCTCATTAGTAGAGACTGGAAATGCCTGAAATTGGTGCGTCAGAGAAAGGAGACATGCAAAATGTGCAGTGTTGGGGTGCCTCCAGGACCGGGTTGGGAACCACTGACTTAGAGAGCGGAGAAATACAGACCAGAGGATGGCTGTTCAGTGAGTGTAACTACCGTAATATATAAGGTCTGTTTCAAAGACATGTTCACACTGAAATATAATGCATGTGAGTGACAGCACAATGACAGATTTGAATTTACATCTGGTTTACTTCCCATGTTTGTTACAGACACAGGATGCCAATGCAGAGAGTAAAGATGTTACATACGATATTTTTGTATCTGGAGGTGGCAGATATTGTAGGAGTGTGTGCAGAGTAACTGAGAAACCACTGAAGCTTGCAGTTAAGAGGCATAATGAATTATAAAAAAAATGCCACCTAAGAGCAATGCGTTGTGTTTGCAAACAGAAGCACTGTAACCATGGAAGTCTATGGAATGTTGTTGTCTTGTCTTGGGTCTGTAGAAACGGGAAGAAAAGTTTTAAATGTGTGCAGAATACAATCATAACCAGCCTTTCAGTGATTATAGAATGCTTATTATAGTTGCTTTTTATTGGAACGGCATATGATTCATGAAATTCCAGAAACATTTTCTTACAACTGACATAATTCCACATCATAGCTTATGAAACACTATGACATGATTATGTAATGTAATATATTGTAGGCTATATAGTAAATTAATAGAATGTCTGCGATCCAGTTTCACCTGAAAGACACAGTGTTCAAGTTTAATGATTGACAGTTTCACACTACTGCTGTTGTCATTAATAGTTTATAAAGGATTATAAGTTTATCATTTTATCCACTGTATAAAATCTTCCTGTTTTGTTTCTTCAGAGGTTAGACTGACTTGTATAAGGGATGTTTTTGATATACCTTTGTGATCTTGTTTCAGCACTTTCAAACAATATCTATTTGATTATATGAATTTTAAAAAAACACTTGAATTTTTCATTTTTTGTCTTGTCATAAGTTTGTCTTTTTCAGTAACTCTATATAATTAAGCGCCACTGTTTATGTTTAAAATTGCACTCTTTTTGACCAATGTGACTTTAAATAATAGCGATGGCTTCTGTTGATGTCAAGTGCCAGACTACTTAGAGCAGTGGTTCCCAACCCTGGTCCTTGAGGCACCCCAACACTGCATGTTTTGCATGTCTCCTTAATCAAACACACCGGATTCAGATCATCAGCTCATTAGTAGAGACTGGAAATGCCTGAAATTGGTGCGTCAGAGAAAGGAGACATGCAAAATGTGCAGTGTTGGGGTGCCTCCAGGACCGGGTTGGGAACCACTGACTTAGAGAGCGGAGAAATACAGACCAGAGGATGGCTGTTCAGTGAGTGTAACTACCGTAATATATAAGGTCTGTTTCAAAGACATGTTCACACTGAAATATAATGCATGTGAGTGACAGCACAATGACAGATTTGAATTTACATCTGGTTTACTTCCCATGTTTGTTACAGACACAGGATGCCAATGCAGAGAGTAAAGATGTTACATACGATATTTTTGTATCTGGAGGTGGCAGATATTGTAGGAGTGTGTGCAGAGTAACTGAGAAACCACTGAAGCTTGAATATGATGGGTATGAGAAAGCAAGCCATAAGATTTTTCTGGATTGTTGCACCTGTGTGGTCTGTCAAGGTCAGGTGATCACCTTCAACATCTCAGATGTTTATTTATTTATCTGGAGATCTTGGTCTTCAGAATCTCAATTCAGCTCCTGTTAATGTCGTCATAATTGTTTTTGATAATAATTTTGATTATATTTGGGCCATAAATGGAATTAATTCACTTTTGGAAATTTTGGCAAACAAGACAAATAAAATACATTCATTTTGGCAAGAAAAAGTTTTTTTTTTCTTGTTTTAAGCTTCATGTCACTTTATTCATATATTCTCTATATATTCTCAAGTAATTTTGGCCTCTGATTTTAAAGGGGTCATAGGATGCCCATTTTCCACATGTTGATATGATTCTTTAGGGTCTTAATGAAAAGTCTGTAACATAGTTTGGTTACAATTTCTCAATGGTAATGTAAAAAACACCCTTTTTACCCTGTCAAAAACAGCTCTTTTCGGAGCAAGCCATTTTTGTAGCATTTTCCTTTAAATGTTAATGAGCTCTGCTGACCCCGCCCCTCTCTTCCGAGCTGCTCTCAGAGAGACTGTTTACTTTAGCCGCATTCATCGTGAAACTTGCTAATTAGCAATTATTAGGAAAGGCGATTTGCAAAGATTCTTTACAAAACATTATACGCACTTCTTCTGTAGATGAGGCTGGATCATGAATGTTTCGCGCGAACATTTATGCATTTATGTAGATCGGGGGAGCATTCCCTTCAGAAACAAATGTAATCCACTGCAAGTTCAGCGGCTCAGATGTTGGGAGTAAATGACAACTGCTATGTTCATTATTACATCCAACAACAGAACACCTCAATTGCTTAGGAGACATTCTTGTCTACATCTGCTCCGGCGGTGAAACAATGGCGGACTGATGACAGTCACTCAGGGCGGGTCTAAGGTAAGACACCAGTCCAGTCTGTGCTGAACTGCTACGGTCAATCAAACTATCGTGGGAGGGGCCTGTCTTTGTGACATCACACAGACAGGCATCTGCGATCGGCTCGATTTGAGAAAGGGGAAAACATTTAACATTTATCATTATAGGGTGGTTGTGTACACACACTGCCAACACACATTTCAGTTCAAACAACTTGTAAAAGTGCATGTAGCATCCTATGACCCCTTTAAGTTTTTTTTTTTTTTTTTGGCCTGTATTACTTTGAAACAAAATAATACAGTAGTTATTTAAATCAGTATTAGTCATATTGACTATTTTTAGGATAGCTTTTGCATCCCTTTTTAATCTTGAAAGCTTCAGTCCTGGTTGCATGGAAAAGAGACACCGTATGTCATCACTTAATATTGAATATTGTCACTAAATACATGTGCATAAAACACACAATTTGTCAAATGAGTTAGAACATTTTGGTCTCTGATTTTAGGTTTTTGTTTTTTTTTTGCCTGTATTTTAACTCTGTGCAGAAAATAATACAGTAGTTATTCAAACCGGCATTAGGCATATTGACTTTTTATGATAATTTTATGATGTCTTTGCATCCCTTTTTAATCTTGAAAGCTTCAGTCCCAGTATATTGTAATTGCATGGAAAAGAGACACAACATGACGTCCCAAAATACTGAATATTTGTTCAATACACACAATTTAATTTGTCAAATAAATTAGAAAAATAAAATTCATTCAGATATATTCTAGCAAGTAATTTTGTAATTGCATGGAAAAGAGACATCACTAAATATTGAATATTGTCACAAAATACCTACCTATGCATAATAATACACATTTCTTTATTCATACAGTAGTTATTTAAACTGGTATTAGTCATATTTACCATTTTTATAAACATATTATTATGCTTTTGCATCCTTTTTTTAATCTTGAAAGCTTCAGTCCCAGTTGATTGTAACTGCATAGAAAAGAGTAACCAGTGCATACATTAAATTTTCATTTTACATGCTGCATATTGCTTTTAAAAATGGACCTCATTAGATAAACTTTAAAATAGCTAGACTTCTCTATACTAGGCAAAACCCCAGGCATAATGTATTGCAAGAAAGCAGCTAAAGTTTCAAATATATTCTATACTTTAATGATGGAGGGATTAAATGACAAAATATCACAGAAAACCTGCCTGAAGACAGGAAGACAGACCTGTCCTGCTGAGCTGTGTCTTTCTCTAGACGCTTCTCTCGTGCTCAGATTCAAATAAATAAATGAGTGGTCTGCAGACACTGGCCCTAACGGCAGTGGTGCCACTTGCTAATGACCTTCCCTGGGGAGTTCTGCTCTATTTTTAAGCGCAATCAAAGTGGACAGAATGAATGATGATATTTAAAGAGAGGAAGCCTGGTCTTCAGAGGTGTCCGAAAGCAGATAAGAAACATCTTGTAACATATTCATGGTTTTGATTATAAAAGATGGCAAAATATATACCCAAAATTATATATTTTATTTCGAATATTGATCTATTGTTATAATGGGACATATCCTGATTAAAGAGGGAAATTGGGTAGCAACGTTCTGCAGGGTTGGCAAACTGACAAGCATTTGAAATACAAGAGCATCATTCATAAGAGACTGCATGATGTTTACTTTCAGAAAACATCAATGAATAAGCATATCTGAATGCTTAGTCACATGCATTCATGCCTTCAGAAAAAAAAAACCTAATGCTTAATTCTGAGACACTGGAGAGATACAGGATAGTTCTTCTAAAAACAGTGGCTGTGGGTTAGGAAAGGGCCCTCCAGTGGTCATGAATCTCTGCACCTCACAACCGTTGCCTGGAAACAGCCCGGTGAAACTCTGATTTATTTATTTCATTCCTTTACCACGTTTTACTTGTTCTGTTTTATTTCATTTCATATTTACTCATTAGGTAACGCTGACCTTACGTGACTTTCTGACACACTGCAGGTGGTTTGGCTGCAATCTCGTGGGTTTGTTGATGTGTCTCAAACACAACATATAAGGCAACTTACTGTACGGAGGACTACATATAGAGATGAAAGCTCGATGGAAGATCATGAAACTTGACTGCACATTTTACCAGACACAGTTATGACCTTGAATAGTCACTTTTAATCTAATTTTAACTAATTTTAATTACTTATGTAAATAAGTTTCTTTGAAAGTTTCTTTATGAAAAGATAGATAGATAGATAGATAGACGGACAGACGGATGGATGGAAGGATGAACAGACAAACAGACAGATAGTCATAGTCAGACAGACAGAGAGAGACAGACAGATAGATGGGTGGACAGATAGATAGACAGACAAATGGATAGAAGGACGAAAAGACAGTTAGTTAGATTCTAAGTTAGTTAGATAGTCAGACAGACAGAGAGAGACAGATGGATGGACGGACAGATAGATAGATGGATGGATGGAGGGACAGATGATAGATAGATAGATAGACAGACAGACAGACGGACGGACGGACGGACGGATGGATGGATCAGATAGATAGACAGACGGATGGATATAAGGACGAAAAGACAGTAAGTTAGATTCTAAGTTAGTTAGATAGTCAGACAGACAGACAGAGAGAGACAGATGGATTGACTGACAGATGGATGGATAGATAGATAGATAGATAGATAGATAGATAGATAGATAGATAGATAGATAGATAGATAGACAGACAGACAGACAGATGGATGGATAGAAGGAGGGACAGATAGATAGTCAGACAGACAGAGAGAAACAGATGGATGGATGGATGGATGGATGGACGGACGGACGGACGGATGGATGGAAGGACGAACAGACAAACAGACAGATAGTCATAGTCAGACAGGAAGAGAGAGACAGACAGATGGGTGGACAGATAGATAGACAGACAAATGGATAGAAGGACGAAAAGACAGTTAGTTAGATTCTAAGTTAGTTAGATAGTCAGACAGACAGAGAGAAACAGATGGATGGATGGATGGACGGACGGACGGACGGACGGATAGATGGATGGATGGAAGGATGAATAGACAGATAGTCATAGTCAGACAGACAGAGAGAGACAGACAGATAGACGGATGGACAGATAGATGGATGGATAGATAGATAGATAGATAGATAGATAGATAGATAGATAGATAGATAGATAGATAGATAG